CTGAGGAAGAGCGAGACCCCGTCTCTACCAAAAATAGAAAGAAATTGGCCAAACAACTAAAAATAGAAAAAAAAAATTAGCCGGGCATGGTGGCACGTGCCTGTAGTCCCAGCTACCTGGGAGGCTGAGGCAGGAGGATCGCTTGAGCCCAGGAGTTTGAGGTTGCTGTGAGCTAGGCTGTCGTCACAGCACTCGCCCCAGGCAAGAGAATGAGACTCTGTCTCAAAAAAAAAAAAAAAAGTTGTTTGGGTAGCTTAAAGAGCAGGCCTCAGGAATTTGGACAATTAACCTAGAAATTAAATTATATAAATCACATCACAGAATGACAGCACAGAAAGACGGCATTTTTGGAACACCATGATTCTGTGATTCCTTCTCTCCTATTCAGAGAGCTTACCTTCCACTTAGAAGCTTGAAATATCACTCTTCTTTGGAACACAGATTTTTATTAACACAAGCAACTCCCAGTTTATGCCTCAAATCCTAGTCTTTTTATTCTTGAATAATAATGAATAATTTAAAAAACAAAAGAATTGATTTTTATTTCAAGACTACTCACCAAAGAAAAATACACAGTATTTACTTAATCTTAACTAACTACAGTAAGAGAAGACATAAAGAGGTGGAGAAAGTGATCCGAAGGAAGATTATAAAATAAGGTTCAAAGCAGTTGACAAAAATCTTTAAAAAAGATATTAAAAAGCAGACACTTGATCAGATCAGACACAAAAATAACAATTCAATATAACAATACTAAAGAAAGCTTTCATTCAAATAGACTGTGGATATCCATATCTGTCGCACATAGCTTTATCAAGATTTTATCCTGGTCAGTGACTTAAGCAGATATGAGAAAGGTACAATAGTGAATCACTGCATCTGCTTTCTGAACATAAATTACCTACTTAAGATCAATAGATACCACAACAATAAAGATGCAAATTCCTACAGTGTCATTTTACACTATTCTCCCAGATTAGAAACATCTTTTTCCTTTTAAAATCTGATACAGTGTCAGTCTACAAAAAGCAAAAGTACTTATAAACCCATACAATATTCCTCTGACCAAATTCTCTATTTTGAAAAGTTTATGTAAGCAAGAAGTCCTTGAATGCACAAGAATGAATGAATGAATAGATGAGTGGAAGAATGAATAAGGCTTTAAAAGTAATCACCAAAATCCAAGAAAACCAAGGAGGGCAGAAATTAGATATCTACAAATTAAAATCACATTAAAAAGTCACATTGTCTCTGTTCCTCTTTCTTCATCTCTTCCTGACTCCTCACAAAGCCAAGTACTCTTAACTTAAAATGCCACTAAATATTCTATGTTCACAGGCATCACGAGCTTATAGAATACTTTAACTCTTCAGCACCCAAATTCATATTACTTTAGCTTACACTTTTTTAAAATAGGAATTCACGTAATCTGACAAACAAATTTTTTCTCTGTCAATATTACTCATCAACTCCCGAGTTTTACATGAATACTGAGAAGCAGGGCTTTTATAAATGGGTAAAAGTAAACATTAAAGCATTTGCCATTTGCAGTACTTGTCAAAGAAATACTTTTTTGTGTTCTTCCTGAAAGAGGAGTAAAAAGAGATTATTGCAGTAGCTAAATGCCATTTCCTAAGCTCTTAAGACTTTTCCCAACAAAGACAAACATGTCAGACTCACTTTGCCATTTCTACAAATAGAATGCTTGTTACAGTTACCATTGTTCGGATAAAGAACATTAGTCCCTTAAGGAAGTTGTGACTTCATGTCTCACAATAAATTAGCAGTGAACCTTTGTTAGTTGTTATTAAATAGTCTGTTAACAACTCCCATGAAATGAAAATTTCTCACAGACACCGTACATGTAAATACAGGTATGTCTGGTTTTAACTGAAGGCATGATCCTGGACGTTGTATATCTACCCAATCATATTTTAAATCTATCAGGAAAGTTTGCTATTAAAAGGCACTCCCTGAAAATATTATCTGAATAAAACTTGTGTTTTATAATTTTAGATGTTTGAAGCTTTTCTTTTTTAAGGGCAAATTTGTATTTTTCAGGCATTTCAGACATCTGAAAAGAAAAAAAAAAATCACGAGTCTACCACCAGGCAGGCTGTTAGGAAGGATGCCAAGTGCTATTTAGTTCTGACTGAGAAGCAGAGCAGGGACATGCAGTACATAGGAGGTCAGGTTGGGGAGAATGGTTAGAGAAGCTAAGATTAGGAGCTAGAAGTTGGATTAGATGACTTCTAAGGTCCTGTCCAGATCTGTGATCATATATTTTAAGGTACTTTTGAGCAATGATGATGGATATAAACTGATTGGTTTACATTTCTGTCTATCCCTTGTGAGTGAGATGTCAGGAACCAGAATCTAAAAGCAAAAGATTAAGTTTATCTTTCCTCTGATAAGAACACTAACCATAGGAAATACAATCAATCTACAACTGATTTTTTAAGAAACACACATAATTAATTCAATAGGAAAGAATGCGATATCATAAAAAGAACTTCAACCCCTATCTCACATCACATAAAAAATTAATTCTAGATGGATCACAGATATAAAAGTAAAAGCTAAAACTACAAAGCTCCTAGAAGAAAACATAAAATGTCTTGATCATAAGGGGGTAAATATTTCTTAGGAATCAAAAAGTTAAGACTTCATAAATACTTAACAGTTTTGCTCATCAAAAGATACCTGGAAGAAAATATACACAATACATTTATATGACGAAAGAATTATATCTAGAATATATAAAGAACTCCAGCAAATTAACAATAAAATGATACACTTCATAAAAGAAGATACGCAAATAGCCAATAAATACATGAAACAGAGCTCAAAAACATTAATCGCAGGGAAATAAAATATCACCACATATCCACAAGAATAGCTAAAATGAAAAAGACTGACAACACCAAATACAGTCAAGAATGTGAAACAAATAAAACTCTCATTCATTTCTGGTGGAAATAAAAAAAGACACAAACACTTTAAAGGATAGGCACTTTCTTATAAAGTTAAACAACACCTACCATATGACCCAACTGAAAACATGAGCCCACAAAAATATTTACAAAAATGCCATAGAAGTTTTATTCATAAGTCAAAAATTATTAACCCAAATGTTCACCAATGTTAGAATGGATAAACAATTTGTGGCATGTTTATGCAACGGAATACTACACGGTATTAAAAAGGAACAAACTACTGACACTTGCAACAACATAGATGAATCTCACTGACACTATATTAAGCAAAAGAAGCCAGATGATCCCATTGATATAAAGTAACAGAATCAGCAAAGCCAATCTATGGTGATAGAAATCAGATCAGAGGTTGCTTCTGAGAAGGTGGGGACTGACTGAGGAGTAAGAGGGATGTTTACAGGATGATGACATTGTTCTAAATCTTGCTAGTGGCTGTGGGTTATACACTGTGTCCATTCATCAATACTCACAAATGGAGTACACTCTAATGTTGTATACTTTACTCAATGTAAATTTTATTTCAAATAAAAAAGAACTCTTTTTTATTTCAATTTCAATAAAATAAGAATTACAAGCATTATAATTCAAGTAGGTTTGCTTTTCACAAAGTGGTATCATTTGGCAATTCTGAAATTACTTTCTGAGTATCCTAGGCTTCTAAAAACAAATAAGTATATTCTAAGTAGTTATAGATTTCTCGTTGGCAAAAAAAAAAAAAGATACAACTATAGAAAAGGGAATTACTTTTTAATTACAAAGGGAAAAAAAGAAACATTTCAGTGAGGCAACTTAGCAGACATCACCCTAGGTAAGTGATCGAAGTGATCGAAGCTACTTGGAACCAAGTGACATCATGTGTCACTTGACATGATACACTAAATACTACCATCACTTCTGTGATATCTGTGCTAAAAATGCATACCCAAATCTAGTCATGAAGAAATAACAGACCCCAATTGAGGACTTTCTATAAAACATCTGTGCTCCTCAAAGATATTAAGGTCATGAGCCATGAAGAAAGGCTGAGGAACTGTTCCAGATGAAAAAAACTAAAGGTGTACAACAAATTAATGTGTGATCCTAGACTGGATCCTGGACCAAGCGGAAAAAAATCTACAACAAACCCTGTAAGGATGCTATTACTTTTACCCTTTGTACAAGTAAGAAACCCCCTTTAAAAGGTTAAACAACTTGCCCAAAGTCATGCAGCTCTGCGGTTCCTAACCCGCGGGCTGCCTGTTAGGGACCAAGCTGCAGAGCTCCACGTCCCCCGTGCCCTCTCCCCACCCACCCCATTCGTGGAAAAATTGTCTTCCATGAAAATTAGGAACGAGGGGACCACACAGCAGGAGGTGAGCAGCGGGTGGGTCAGTGAAGCTTCATCTGTATTTACAGCAGCTCTCCATCGCTCACATCACCACCTGAGTCTGCCCCTCCCGCACCCCATCCCTCCATTCCTCCCACCCCCGTGGAAAAATTGTCTTCCATGAAACCAGTCCTTGGTGCCAAAAAGGTTGGGGACTGCTGATACAGCTAGTATAGGTAAGCCAGGATTAGAAGCCAGCTCTGTCTACCTCTAAAGTATATGCTTTGAGCATTATACTTCTTAGGCAGGTTGCTATTTCCATGGCTAGCCATATTAAAAAGCTATAGTCTTAATTAAGATTTTTCACATACACTAAATTCAGTTAAAATTAGGTATTCTGTCATATTCTTTAATAGAAATAATCAAATGCCGTATCAAAGTTGAATATTTCAAGTTATCATAGAAATAAAAAAGATATAGCAAATGTAACAGCTGTCATTCATTTATTCTACAGCAACTTACTTTAAAAGTTTTCTTGAAATATAAATGAAAGTAAACTCTAGGTAGATGTGATAAATGAAAAATACAATGAAATCTATTATAATCTGCAACAACAGAACCATAATAACAAATAAAAACTCACAATGTTAGCATAACTGCTGAATTCAAACTTCCATACTTACGAAAGGTACACATACCTTTTCCTAAATGTGTGTTTATGCTCATATATCTAGCTGTTCCTGTAAGGCTCTTGTGTTCTCTGTATGGTATGTGTTTCTTTGTCTCTGGATCAATATATTCCTTTGCCAAACCAAAATCTATAATATGAATAACTTGCTGGGTTTTATTTCCTGGTCGTCCTATTAAGAAGTTCTCAGGTTTTACATCCCTGTATATTAAGTTCTTTGAATGAACATATTCCATGCGAGAAATCTTGGTTTAAGAAAAAAAAGAAGAGACATTTTATTTTGGGCTTTGACTAGTCCAAGAAAGCATGATAGAGGGAAGACAGAACTTTCACAATAAAAGCAACATAAAAAGAAAAAAATGAGAAATTATTTTCAAACCTTTAAAAGTAACATGATATATATATATATATTATATATATCCAATTATGATTAAAAATTTTTGCCTTTATTATTATAGTCACTGAGAAATGAAAGTGTTTGAATTTTATGAATTCCTTTCATATCAGTAAGTCTGACTTAATCAACACTTTCAGAGGATGCTACCTCATAAAATCCAAAAGCTTTATTGATACAAAATCTTGAACTCAAAAGTATAACCAAGTATATGCAAACAGTTGCAATTTATTCTTCCTTATCAGTTCAATAATCAAGCAACTTTTATAACTATATTAAAGAAACCTAAGAGTCAAAACTGTTAAACAAAAACAACACCATTCAGTATTTCTTTCTTTTTCTCTTTTATAACTTGTTTCATTTTTTCTTAGGTATTAATACTTAAAAATAAGATCTTAAAATTAGAAAAGATTGGAATCCAACTCCAATAATAATATAATACATTATTGTTTCCCATATTCTCAAATAATGTTCATTGTACAAATTGTCACAAAATAGAACATGACAAATAAGAAAATAAAACTGCTTCATTTACTCATGATCATGGTTAACAATGCAATGTAAACATATAGTTACATAGGCCATTCTAGTTTGTTTATTTAACAAACTTCAGATCATATAATATATAATATTCTATTACATATACTTTTAATTAATGGTATATTATAAGCATTTTCCAGGCCATGAAATATTTTTTAGTATGTACTTTTTAATAGCTGCGTATTATTTTATGGCTATTAATAATTTATTCAACTAATCCTGTTATTTCTGCACATTTGGGTTGGTTCTTCTTTTATTATAAATGTCCTTGCACATACAGCATTAAATATATCTGAATACTTCCACAGGATAAATTTGTACATGTGGAATTAATGAGTCGATGGATAAAAACAATTTTAAGACTTCTACAGCACACACCTATTGACATTTATTTCAAAACTACCTTAAATCATCCTCTAAATTATTATTCTATGGGTTTTCTAAAGTTTAAGTAATTTATTAAGACTCCTTCATTTGTTTGTTGCTTCTTTTTCTAGGTCATAAAGTCTATTACCAAGACTAAGAATCCACGTTTCTGAGAGTTTTCTTTTGAATTATTCATCTTCTACATGAAAAAGGTACTATTTAATAGAAACAACTTAATTCTCAAATTGAGCATTCTTAAAGTAGTTAAGATATAAATTTTCATACAAATAAATACACCTGATTCAGTCATTTTAAGTTATATGCATCCTAGAAAGACAATATGAAAAGCAGAAACATTAATATTAGGTCAAATGTTCTGTAAGATAATGTCCCAAAACTTTAAACTTTTAATATGCATCATTCAAACAACTTGATACACCCTGTTTTACTTACCAGTTGTATAGCTATCATGAGAACTGTTTTAAGAGAAAACGTTCTGTCACATAAGTCAAACAAGTCTTCCAAACTGGGTCCCAGCAGTTCCAGCACCATAGCATTGTATTTACCACAAGGGCCAAAATAGTAAACTTGAGGTATACCATCTAGGGGAAAAGAAACAGTTATTTAATAATTTCATCATCTTAAATACTAAGGTTTTCTTCCTAGAAAATCAATAAACAATTTTTTTAATTTCATAGTTTCAAGAACGGCAGCAGTATTTTTACTTTTTGCAGATACACAATGAACTTTTCCTGACCAAACCTCCTTCCTCCCTATACCTTCTCCTTCATGTTCACATTGTAGCCTTGTTACATCTCTACTGCTGCTGCATTACCAAACTATATTATAAATAGTACTTTATTGTTTCTCTCCACCACCTCACTATGGACAAGACCTAGGCTTTTTAGTCTTATATTTCCATGTCCTCGAGAAATTCTTAGCACATAGGAAAGATTCCATTTTTATTGAACAAGGGAGTCACTGCTATCTTTAATAACTCTGTGATAGGCATACTACTAGATCACCCCTCAAGATTCCCATCCTCTGGTGTATACACCCTATATAATCCCCTCCCCTTGAATATGGGCAAGATCTCTAGGATTTTACCCATGCAACTAGGCTAAGTTATACAGCAGAGACGATATAATTAAGGGCCCTATCTGTTGACATAAAGTTAAGCACAAAGAAGGGGCTTTAAAGAACGTGTAGAAGTCAGAGAGACTGGAAACAGCAGAGCAGCTCTCCCATTGACCTTAACAGAGCAAACCACCATGTTGTGTAAAGAGTCGCATGGCAGGTAGAAAGCCTCTAGAAACTGAAGGCCTCAGTCCTATCGCCATGGGGAACTGAATTCTGGCAAGAACTTCTGAACTTGGAAGAGGGCTCTGAGCCTCACATAAGATTGCAGTCCAGCCTTACACTTGGTTTCAGCATGATGAGACCTTCGACAGAGGACCCAATTAAGCCATGCCTAGCTAAACTCCTGACCTGGGAAATTGTTAGATTATAAAGTCTCTCATTTTAAGCCACAAAGCTAGTAATAATCCATTATGCCACCCTTGTTAATGATCCTTGTAGCCAAGGATAATTGGCTACAAGGATTGGCTACGTAAGTTATTACAACTTATGTAATAACTCTCCGCATCATTTCTTTAAAAACCCTTCTCTTCCTTTACCTCTCTGAATACACTCAAGCATATTCCCATTGTAATGCTCATTCCCAAATAAATACCATTTTCTTTTAGAGAGTCTCCCTCTCTGTCTGTTATCTAGGTTTGACACTTAATACTGCATCTATCTAGTTTTGGTCACGAAGAAATGAATATCTTCCATGACAAATGTCTCAGTTTTACTTCCAAATGATTTTTTTCAGTAATTTTAAGAGGGGAAAAAAATCTAAAACATAGTAAAGACTTTTCCCATTCTTTTTAATGAAGAATTATTTAGAAACATAATATCATTTTTACTGTTTACCCTATCATTTTGAATATAAATTAGTACAGGAACAGAAAACACTGAACTAGAAACCGGGACAACTAGGTATTTACTCTAATATTATCTAATAGTCACCAGCTACGTGGCTAGTTTGCCATTCAACCTCTCAAGTGGGCCTCAGTTTGCGTAACTATATTAGCAGTTTGGACAAAACCATTGTTTCTCAATTGTGAATATAAGTGAGGCAGCAGAACATCTGAGGGCGGGCAGGTGAGATAGTATAATCATGGCATGGGCAGGGGAATGAGTACAAGTTCAAACCTCATATTTGGTCTCCTCTCTAGAAACAAAGATTCTGATACACCCCCGTGTGTATATTTCAACACTCTCTGCAAATACACAAACATACGCATACACACATTCATCACACATGCTTGTCCCCATTTCTCCTTGCCACTGGAAATCATTATCTTGGTGTGAGCCACTTCTGCCATAGCCACTGTTACCATGTATGTGTCATATCTACCCCTCATATGTGTAAAAGCAGAGAAAAGGTTCAGAATGAGAGGCTTATTAAGTTTATTCCTACTTCAAAATCCTGCTTCTACTATGCTATACTCATTAAGAGCCTGGAGCTACAATTAAGACTTACCAATAGCTCTCAGCTACTAAGCTTTCAAAATTCTTTCTACAATGCTTTTTTCCCCTCTAAGCCACTGAAAGTTGTTAATTTATATGTTCGCAATTTAACAACCTCCAATAACTCATTTCCACTATTAAGTTTGTTATTTCTGATATGTAGGGTGCAAGGAAATCAGATCATCAAGGCGTATTAGAACTATAAACAGAATGTAAAAATAAATAGGTTTTGAAGATCTTCAATGAAAGGACTGTCGAAAGGATTCTCTACTTCCATCTGAGACACCATTTATATTCCCAACACTTAAAGTTGGGAATAAAGTTGTTGGGAAATGATCTCTAAGCAAGAAAAACAATATGTTTTGGTTTATTAAATGACTGTGTTTTTTTTTTCAAATATTCCAAAAGTTTCTAAAAATAGAAAACCATTTAAGGAGTTTTGCTGTCTTAATTAATTCAACAAATCAACAATAACTTATCGAGCATAGACTATACCCTTATGGGACTGGGTTGGGCATTATGGATACAAAAGTGAACAAGACACCATGACTAAGAATGCTTTAACCCAGGAATGCAAGGTTGGGTTAACATGCAAAAATCCACCAAGGTAACTCACCATAATAACAGAATAAATGTGGAAAACCACAAGATCATCTTAACAGATGTAAAGAAAGCATTTGAAATAACTCCGAACAAATCTGAAATAGAGGTTCCTAAATCTGACAAAGAACATCTATGAAAAGCTACTAGCTAACATCATACTTAATGGCAAAAGACTGAATGCTTTCCATTTATGACTGGAAGTAAAACAAGGATGTCTACTTTTACCTCTTCTATTCAACAGGGGAATGAAGCAAGAAAAAGAAATAAAAAGCATTCTCAAGAATGAATGAAGAGACCCTATTACTTCAAGAAAAACTCACAATTATTTACTAATAATAAAATTCACCCTTTCAAGCAATAATTTCAATTTTGTAAAATTTGTATCCGCCATGATGACCTTAATAACTTCCCAATACTTAAAAACTTGTTCTGATGAAATTGTGGTGATATTAACTATTATGATTTAATTTGGGATAATGAGATGTATCAATATTTGAAATACATGCATAACCCAGCGAAACAATATGCTCCAAAAGACCAACACTGGTAGTTAGAAAATCACACGTGGGTAAATGATCCATTCAAAGTACAATGGATTTTAATGTAAGCGAGTAGGAAAAGTTTTTTGATATGACTTCTAACTCTACATTGCAATTGACATGTAAGAAACTACAACTTATCAAGTTTTGGTGTGGTATCAAAAAGATATTCATAATTTACAAGATAATTAGTCAAAATTGACAAAGTTATGGATTAAACCACTGACGAGATTATAAAGCGGTACCTTTTTAAAGGAAAATTACCCTATCCTTTCGAAGTAAGCAACAGTATGCATACAATGATGTTTAAGCTCCATTGTTTGTTACAGTAAAAAAACGAACTGGCAAGTATCTAAATATCATTAAGCCTGGACTAATGAAACAAATTATGTCATACTCATTCTATGGAATACAATACGCCCTTTAACTACTTTTGGAGATAATTGCGAATAACAAACCTTTCCCATTTGCTTCTAATAATACTGCTGATTAAATTTTTTATTGTTTACAACCATGCATTACTTTTTTTTTTTTTGAACCAGGGTCTTGCTCTGTTGCCCAGGCTAGAGTATATGGCATCATCACAGCTCACAGCAACCTCAAACTCTTGGGCTCAAGTGATCATTCTGGCTCAGCCTCCCAAGTAACTGGGACTGCATGTGTACTATCACATTTGGCTTATTTTTCTTATTTTTCATAGAGAAGGGGTCTTGCTATGTTGCTCACGCTGGTCTCAAACTCCTAGCTTCAAATGCTCCTCTGGTTTCAGCCTCCCAAAGTGCTAGGATTAATAGGCATTGAGTCACAGAGCCTGGCATACTTTTAAAATAAAAATATTTTTAATGAGTCATTAAATTTACATATGACTAGAAAAGATACTAGAAGAAAAAGCCAGAAAGCTACCAGAGACTATTGGAAGCACAGGTGATTTCTACTTTCACTTTTGTAGTTTTTGGACTTTTCCCAATTTTTATGAAGAATATATTGCTATTTTTGCAATCAGGAGAAAAATGCACATTTTAAAAATTCTTCTGAGATCACAAAGAAAAACTCAAGTTGGAAAACTATTTAGACCCAACTGCAATTTTATTTCCCAAGAAAAGTCTGGACAGTTTTTTATCACTGAGCAAACAAATTAAATTGTTAAGAGTTAGGAAAAGTTGCAACTAACAAACAGAGGATGGGACAGGGTGTACCCTAAACAAAGAACAAAACAAAATAAAACCACCACACCAACATAAATATGGCAGACAAGACCACCAGGTAGAGATTTTTTGCAAGTGAGAGAGGTAAGGGAAAAACGGGCAAGAGAAGAGAGGCTCAGAAAGAAGGCTTAGAAGGAAGAATAATGGAGGAGTTAAGATACTAGCTATGTCTATTGATCAAAATATTTGGCTACTGAAATGAGTAAGTACAATTCAACTCATGGACAAAAAGCAAACTTTTGCATGTATTTGTTCTTACATTTGGTGAATTTTCAACTATAAACTCATATTCCACCCATTTCCAATGTGTCTAACACTATTTTTATTTGAGACTACTATATAAAGCCATCCATTGTGAATTCGTGAGTGTTAGTTCTGATAATGTCCAATATCCCTAATTTTCAAGGATGCTCATTAGCATCCCTAATTTTCAAGAAGTCTATTGTTTTCCAAGAAAAGCTCAAGAATGAGTAAGAATACAAAATTCACAAATTTGAAAACACAGTCTTACCCCTACTTACCCAAAATTCACTTTACTAAATACTTTTTATATTTCAGTATTCCATTTAAGTAACAAAACAACATTAATTAATTAAAGTCACAAAATAATAACACATAGGAGGTTTAACACTATTAAAGCCTGCTTGGTACTTCCTGCCAGGTCTTCAAATACTTCAGTTC